TTAAAGAACAATTAAATCATAACAGACAATTTGTAGAAGCCTGAAGGAATAAGAAAGTTTTCACCTCCTAATGGAAGGAGAGCAAGAAGGGAGCCATCCTGGCCTCACTAACAGGAGCATCATTAGGGGGTTGCTGGGGTGCAGTCCACACCAGGTGACACACTAGAAGAGGGGTGACCCAGTCAGCCCCTCACACACACACACATTGGTACTATGACCTTGCCATGGCACCGAGGAAGGCCAAGTGTGCCACCCACTTTGGAACAAGTATCTTGTTCTTCTTATGAGAATGTCCCCATAAGGAGAACAACATGGTGGCACCAAAGAAGGCTGAGCCTGCCCTCCCCCCACCTTGGTGGTGCTGCCTTGTTCTCCTTATGTGGAGAATGAGTATGCCACTTCCAGAAGCCCCCCCAACCAGAAACCCATCCCCAGGAAGCCCCACACCCAATTCAGAAGCCCTGCCTCCATGAAAGCGCCCCCGCATCAAGCAACACCAAGGGCAAGGATGCCACTGCTCGCTAGAAAAGGAGATCCAAAATCTGGGAACAGAAACTGAGAAGGTTCTCTCTCTTGTTCTCATCAAATGTGTTTGGGATGGTAGTAGGATAGAAAAAAAAGACATCTTCCAAAGATCTTGGACAAAGAAATAAAGCCAGTCTCCTTGGAAAAGCAAGGAGAAGAAAAGGAAAAAGATTACAAGGGAGAGAAAGAAAGAATGAAGCAAACAAATGACAAAATGAAGGAGTGGTTGAACAGACCAATTTTTAAGCAATTTGAGGGAGGAAGAAGAAGAGCTGACAACAGCATTTGTTAAGGTGAGGCAGGGTAGGAAATAAAACTACAGTGGAAACATTCCCACCAGTTTAAATGTTTTATGTTTTATGGATACTACCAAAGCTGTGGAGGGGAGGAGATACGGCTGCTGGGGAAGAAATGTGTTACAGTGGCTGACTCCCCATTCCTGTCCACTTGACTATTCATCCATCCTGCCATTCTCCAGCATCACAGTTTGAACTATATCTGAGAGATCCATAGTGGAGTGCACTATACATCCTGCTAAAATAGGAAGCAGCTGGAAGTCCACTTCCAATGTTTTTTTAATGTTATTTTCAGTTGCTTTAAAACAAGGTTTATTAGAGGTCTACACTTTGGTTTCGCAGGTTGGGACATGAGTCTCCATTTCTTAAGCCAATCACCTCCCAAAAAACCTGGGGGTAGAGGTCCAGGAGCATAAATAGCCTAACCAGATCCTATCTGACCTAGGAAGCTAAGCAGAGTCAGAATTGGTTAGTACTTGGATGGGAGATTGCCAATGAATTCTTGGTCCTGTAGGCTATATTTCAGAGGAAAGAAATGGCAAAACCACCTCTGAGTATTCCTTGCCTAAGAAAACCCTATGAAATTAATAAGGTCACCATAGTTTGAAGGCAGATTCACATTCACAGAACTCCTGGAAACACAACAATAGATGAGAACCTCATATGGCCCATGTGCCAGTTGTTGCCCATCAGTGCTCTAAAAGTAGATTGTACAAATTTAGAGTTTGACAACTATCTATGATGCTTACATGGACCAGCATGTTCAGAGGCATTCTACTAATATAGAATGGGTGCTCTGGTATTCTTAGTCTATTTGTGTGCTTGCTAGGTGTTATCCGGTTGGCACTGCTGAGAACAGAATATATTTATTTATCTTGATGTTTTTATTCCATTCTTTTTTGCAAATCCAAATCCTTTCACAATCTAAAAAGATAATACAAATGCAAGACTTTCTGGAGCTCCCTCTCTTGGCCAGAGATGGGGAGGAGGGCATGTAAGCTGCTCAGTCCCTCATAAGGATGGAAAGAATATTCAAAATATTCATTAAATGGTTGAAGAAATGTTTCTTGAGTGTTGGGAACTTTGATGAGAAGAATCCTATGCTACCAAGAATCTTAACTGTTCAGGAATTCTTCTGTGCAAACTTTGCATGCATATTTTTTTAGCAGAAAACAGCATTTTGTAGAAAATAGTATTTTCTGTAAAAAAAAAAATCATGTGCACGTTTTACACAGAATATGGAAACAGTAATTTATACCAACTACATTTCTGAACAGACAATAATATTTCTGCACAGACATTGTTATGTGGAGAAGATCCTAGGTTCTTTGTATGCAAGACAATGTGTGAAATTTGTGCACAGTCTCAAACTGTGAATAGTTGTGTGTTTTAATGTGCAGTTTTCAAAGACTTTCTCACAGCAGGGAGAAAATTGCTCAGATTACTAATTGCTTTCTTCATTAATGAAATTAGTGAAGCTGTTTCTTCCAGGTCACTAGTTCAAGATATATTTTGAGCCTCTGTTGTGCATCCTGTCCAGATAACCTTGTCACATGGTATGTCACTGCAAAGTCTGTGCAGTTGTTGACACTGTATCCGTGTCTATGAATATTTGCATCACTAATTATAACCTGAATACTGTCTTAAAACAGCCTATTGTGTTATTAATAAAATACAACTCATTCTGCTGAGGGAGAAAAAGAGGAGAGAAAGCAGGAAGGGAAAAAGAATTATTTAAGCAGTTCTGTGTTTGCCAAGCAAAGATGGTATTTTGCAGGTCAATCATTCCTATAAGCGAAAGTGCATTTGAGTGTACACTCCAGTAACAGATGACTAGAAGAACTCTCTTTCATGATCTTGGCCAGGATAAAAGAAAGGCAATTTAACATCCACAGAATGCTGTAATAGGACAGAATAGTTCTCATAAAAATAACTCTGTTTGAATTTGAACGATCAGATGAATCTGAACTGCAGGGAAATCAATTTGATAACCCATCAGAATGTAATTGTGTTTGGCTCCTGCTTACAGAGGTGTTGTGTTAACTTTTCACTACAGGAAATAATGGTTGGTTGGTTCAGCCTCCCATTCCAAAGAAATGATTATTGCTTGCCTGCTACAGAGAAGCTTCAGTAACAGCCTCATCCAAATGTGAAAATCTTAGATAAAACAGGGTTGATATCCTGGACAGGGATGCATAAACATTGTCAAAAACAGAGAAGACAAATGTAGAAGGTGGAGATTTACGAAAAGTTAGGAATGCCATGAGACTCAGAGAGTCTCATTTTCCTATGTACAAACAGAATCAGACAAACATTGCTAAATATGAATGCTTGATAAAAACTACAAGTCAATCAACAGGAGTAGATAAGTAACAGAGCATTTATCTTGATGAACACTACCACATCTGACAGAAGATTGTAAGATGACACATCTGGATAATTTACCATAGTAAGACAAAATAAAACTTCTCGTTTCATAAAGCAGGGATGGGGAGATTTGGCCCTCCAGATGGTGGTGTTAGGCTACAGCTCCCAACACCTCTGTCCATTTGCCATGCTGGTTCTGGCTGAAGTTTATGAGCCCTGGTTCCTGATTCATCACAGAGAAAATGAGGTTGATTTCTGGGAAACATTTTTAAAAAGATTTCAAAGTACCATATACACTCAACTATAAGTCAAGGGCAGGTTCAGGGGCCAAAATTATGCATTTTGATATGACCCCTGGATAGGTTGAGTGTAAAACTTAGAGGCATAGCAATGGATGTAAAGGGTGAAGCAAAAGAAAATGATGGCAAAGAACTTGCAAAATGCCAGCAGGCATAACTGCAATCATATTAAAGGCTGGATGGTTGATGAGGGAACTACAGTGCTAGGGAATCATGGGAACTGTAATTTATTGTGGCACCAGAGCTCTCTGACAGAGAAGGCTCAATGTCTCAGAAAAAATACAATTCCCATGATTCCCTAGCACTGAGCCAGGATAGTGCCTCAATTTAATGTGCACTATTTCTGGCAGTCTGCTTAGGCCCTAAGTTGGCTATGACTTATGGTGATTATGAATAAGAGACCTCCATGAGCCCCAGTCCTAAACAGCCCTGTTCAGATCTTGCAAACTCAGGATCATGGCTTCCTTGATTGAATCAATCCATCTGTAACATGGTCTTTGTCTTTTCTTACTGCCTTCCCCTTTACAGATATTATTGTCTTTTCCAATAAGTTATGTCAGCTCATGGTATGTTTAAACTACAATAGCCTCAGTTTAATTGTTTTGGCTTCTAGTAAGTGTTCAGTTTTGATTTGCTTTGGGACCTATTTATTTGTCTCTTTGGCAGTCTATGATATCTGCAGAACTTTCCTTCATCACCACATTTCCAATGAGATCTCTTGTTTTCCATATTTGTTAACAGATTTTAGTTAGAACTTGAATTCTATATCTGTAGCTTGAAACAGCTCTATTGGTTTGCCATCTGTTACTGGTAATTTAGTCCTCCCAAGTGCTCTGAATGCAGATTCCACTTCACTTTTTAAAATGTTTGGTTCATCTTCAGATGGTTCTTCCTTGAATGAATCTCTCATCCTTTCATTTTTTTAAATAATTCTTCCATATATTGTTTCCATCACCTTGTTATTTGTACTTGGTCATGCAATATGTTTCCCTGCCAGTCGTAAAGCATCTCATTCTTGGTCTAAATGTCCCTTTGATTTCTTGGATCTTGTGGGGAAAGTATCTTGTTCTTTTTTTTAAGTATGCTTTTAAAATGTATTTTATTCTTTTAATACAGACCTGCACAACTTGGACATAGGCAGGGGCTAAAATTAAATCACTAAACTTCTTTGGGACGCAAATAGGTTTTAATAAATTATTATAATGAGTTATTATTAATTACTGATTAATTATTAGTTTATTAATAATAGTTATTAATTACCAAGTAAGTGTTATTAGTTACTAATTACTAATTACTAATTACTAATTAATAATTAATAATTATTGATATTAATTTAAATTACATCGTCCACTGCCACCACCCTGCTCTTTCTTAGGAGAAAGCCAAGAAGTGGAGGAGCCATGAGCGGAGTGACCAGATGTCATAACCAGAATGGAGGGTTGTCCTTAGGGTCACCATAATTAGGCAATGACTTAAAGCTACACCAGAAAAAACAACAATGCCTCAAGAAAGAGCCAGTGTGGTGTAGTGGTTTGAACATTGGACTATCACCCAGAGACCAGGGTTTGAATCCCCGCTGTGTAATTATCTGAATCAAAAAATTCCACTTCTGTCAACTTTAGCTCACTCACCCCAAGTATTGCAATGTTTATATCTTCCATTTCTTGTTTTACTATGTCTAGCTTCCCCTGATTCATTCTTCGCACATACCATGTTCCTAAAAAATGTATTGTGTAGCTTCAGACTTTCCTTTCACCTCTGATCACATCAATAGCTGAATGTCCTTTCAGCATGGGTCCATTTGTGTCTTTAGCCCCAGCACTATTCATAGTTGTCTTCTGTTCTATCCCAGTAGACTGATGAGTGCCATCTGACTAAGGAGTCTCATCTTCTGACACTATCACTTGTTTTCTTTTTGATTGTCTCATCATAGTGGTTTTTTTTGGGGGGGGGGGGGTTGTGGTAAAAGGCATTCAAAAAGGTTTCACCATTCCTCCTCTGTGCAGTACTAACAAAAGTTAACTATGGTGCCACTGCCATTGTCTCTGAGAGATCCTCTACCAGTGTTACCCCCCAATACTGCTGCTGCCCAGTACCTGTTTGGCACATTTAGTGTGGCTCCTCAGCAAAAGCTACCAACAGCATTGCTGCCATCAGTATAGCCTCTTGCCTCACAGGCACACGCAATCCCAACACCACAGAAAGATAGTGTCATGGTGAGTTTTATTGTCTTTACAACCTTTTATCTATAGTCCTTTGTCTTGCTTGGCCTTCTACACTTGATCAGCTTTGTGTCAACCCTCTCTCTGGTTTTTTCTCTCCTTTAAATTGCTGAAATAAACTGAAGACAATGCTGGACGAAATGCCAGTCCACTTGAATTCTCTCTGTGACATTTTCCTCCCTGCACACTGATTTGTATCCATTTATTTCAGCCTTTCAACTATAGTGATTCATACAGGGAGAGAAAGAAAAGCTTGGTGTCATTTCTCAGTTGCTAACGCGCAAGAAATTCCTTTGTTTTCCTTCTACAGAATCCATAATCAGTAGATTGTTTACTACCTTCTCCTCATCTTTGTCAGTTCTTATTGCTATTTTCTTGCAGAAAGGAATCCTATCTATTTGGCATGGCTTCTCTCTTGGAAAGCTGGGCTCTTTAGCTGCCTTGAAATTCATATCATTACACGAGTCACACTTAAAAGCTAGGTGTTGTCTGTCTCTTGCAAGCCACCAAACTGTTGACAGATCTATGATGGCATGGAATGTTGACAAACTTTATAACTTCTCAGGACAAATGTGTCAGCACAGTGGAACTTTGGCAAGTTGTCTGGTTTGCTGAGGAGGGGGCCGACATCTCAGACAGGATCTTAAAACAAACAAAGTTGGATTCTGTCAACAGAGAAAAATCCAATAGGAAAAAAATTCTTTTTAGGTGGTCATTTTGAGAGGCAGGAAGGGGGGGAAACCAATGCTGGGTGTACTAGAGGATGAAATTATGGCAAGCCCAAGATAATGCAGCATTTATACCATTAACACTTGTGTAGTAGATAAGTGTTGTTGCAGGCAAAGCTGAGAAAAGTTTCACCTATTGCTGCTTTTTTCACATTACTAACAAAGGTTAAAGAATCCTGTTCAGTTTTGCATGTCCCCTGAAATAACCATCAAGTCTTGGCCCAATTCTTGAGATAGGCTAGCACTATAGTCTGGATCAGTCCTAACCTAACCTAACAGTCCAGATCAGTGACACCAAGAGCAATCTAGCAGACCCAGGTCAGGTTAATTTGGCTGGTAAACCTTTATGTTCTTATTGGCTATAGTAGTCAAGATGGGAGAAAAACTGATAATTTTCAGGCTAGAATTTAAGTGTAGAGATGGCACCCTTTCATCTAATACCTCACTCCCAAGGCAGATGACTGGTTGCTGGAGATACTGGTTCACAACCTCCCTGAGTGGTTTTCAATAATTAACCAAACTTTGGCTGTCCTTTTTTAAAAGTATTTTAGCACAAGGATTAAAACAAGAAAATATTCAGTTGAATAATGTTTACTAAAGGCACAGCACACTGAGTTAACTGCAGTTTGCATTCTGTTGTTGTTGTGTGCCTTCAGTTGTTTCTGACTTATATCATAGGGTTTCCATGATAAGAATATTCAAATGAAGGTTTACCGTGAGATATCAATGAAATTAAATTAAAATTTTAATTCCAGGTATGCAGTTAATTGGGTTGTTTAGAAGCAATCTAAAACAATTGCATTTTTTTTCTTTCAAGGGATATTTCAGAGACAAAGATCAGCCATCTCCCCACCATTGGACTAGAGAGCATCAACAAATTGATAGCACGATCGACCTACAATTTAAAAAAGCTACCTCCCTTGGACAAGTTTCGTGCTTTGATTGAGGCCAATCTCACCTATCCGAGCCACTGCTGCGCTTTTGCAAACTGGACCAAACAGAAGTGAGTTGCCCCATTTGCTCTGCTTTTAGAGTTTCCATTTGTTTGTGAATGTCAAAGGAGATTATTGCATTACAAATAGTGCGACTGATTCCTGACAGGATACAGTCGCATTTCAGATTATTCACTGATTTTATCATTCAAATCGCCACCACTGCTGCCAGGCAACTGCAATCCAGCTGCAACCCAGGTCCCAGTTGTGCTTATCCAGTTGCTTTTCAAAAAGAAGAGCTTGCCATTTTTGAAAAGCAGCTGGATAAGTGTGGCTGGGACCCGGGCTGCAGCTGGGTTGCAGTTGCCCAGCAGCAGTGGTGACAATTTGAATATGATAAAATAAGCAAATAATCCAAAATGTGTCTGTATCCTGTCAGGGATCAGTCACATTATTTCTAATGTAATAATCTCCAAAGTGTCTCTTGATTGAAGTGGCTGATATGGTTATGTCCAGTTTCTCTGGTCTGTCATGAGAAAGAGAAGGAAGTAGTCAAGCACTATGTTAAATCACTTCATCCCAATGAGAAACAAACAGATCTACCATCATGTTCTGGGCAGACGACTATAGTGACCAAATAAAACCACCTGTCACGATTATACTCAGGGTGGGGATGCAGCTATGGCAGTTAAAGTGGAATAATGATGCAGCTATGGCAGTTAAGTGGAACTGATGGGCTACAGTTGTGTAATGTGAAAGGGCCCAACATCTCTGTATTCAAATGTGGCCTTTGAATTTAAAGAAATTCTTCGCCATCCACTCACCCTCCACATTCTGTCTTGAGAGGGAGACTTGGATGCAAGGGAAGGCATACTGTTTTCTGTCCTATTTTGGGAGACATGGGAGCTATAGAAGGTTACAGAGAGAGAGAAGGAAAGGAAAGAGTTTTAACTCAACAACTTACAAACTGAGCCTGATAGCTCTGAGGTCTACTCAGGGTTGCATCTAGGGGGAAGGAGGGATGAAGGCATTGCCCAACCAAATAAGAATGCTGCCCCCCAATTAAATTTTCCTTCACTCCCCATATTTCTAGCACTGCAGTAGCTTAAAACGCCAATGGAGCATTTAGAAATACAGTTTAGACATTCAAAGAAACTTACCCTCCAACTGTCCCAATTTGTCAGGGACAGTCCGAATGAATCCTCCTCCTCCTCCTCCTCCTCCTCCTCCTCCTCCTTCTTTGCTCTCACTTTTTCAACTGCTTTCAAAATGTCCCAGTTTTTCTCTCTTCCTCCCACTTTCCTGCTTTATCCTTAGCTTACTTAATTTGCTGAAAAGAGTCCCAAGTACAAAAGGAGTTTGCTCTCAATGAACTTTACAAGAGGGAGAAGTGAGGAGGGGGCAGAATCTTGCCCATTCCAGTAGGCTCAGGCAAAAGCAAACTGCTGCAGCCTCTCCTAGCTAGTGTGTGTTTATTCCTAAATAACTTTTGCCACACTGATGTTGCTTGACCACATATGTCCTAGTGTTCATTTGTAAAAAGTTGGAGGATATGGCATTAATATAGTTTTAATTTAGCATGGCCATCTGGGGGGGATGCATTGAGGCTGTCCCTCAGGGACATCATCAATGCATCCCTCAGGGAAGGCCATTTCCACCATGCTTGAAGGAAGCGGCAGTTAGACCACTTCTGAAAAAGCCTTCCCTGGACCCCCTGGATATGAACAACTATAGGCCGGTCTCGTTACTACCTTTTAAGCAAAGTGATCAAGAGGGCGGTTGCTCTTCAACTCCAAGCTGTCTTGGAAGAAACCAATTATCTAGACCCACTTCAAACTGGCTTTAGGATGGGATTTGGAGTGGAGACTGCCATGGTTGCCTTGGCTGATGATCTTCATCTGAGCATCGACAGGGGGAGTGTGACCCTGCTGATGCTCTTAGACCTCTCAGCGGCTTTTGACACAATAGATCACATCATCCTCTTGGATTGCCTGAGAAGGTTAGGAATTGGAGGCACTGCATTGCAGTGGTTCCGTTCCTTCTTCTCGGGCAGATTCCAGAGGGTGTTGCTCGGGGATAGTAGGAAGGAGTTTAATTGTGGCGTCCCTCAAGGCGCCATCCTTTCCCTGATGTTGTTCAGTATATATATGAAGCCACTGGGAGAGATCATTTGGAGTCATGGGGCGGGGTGTTATCAGTATGCTAATGATACCCAAATATACTTCTCCATGTCTCAGTCATTGGCTATGACTTCAGATGGCATCTTTCCTCTTAATGATTGTCTTAAGGCAGTAATGGGCTGGATGAGGAAAAACAGATTGAGATTGAATCCAGACAAAATGGAGGTACTAACAGTAGCAGCCCCGAAACTAGGTATTGGGATACAATCTCCAGTCCTGGATGGGGTCACACTTTCCGCTAGGGACTGTGTTCACGTCTGGGGGTGCTCCTGGATCCGTCGCTCCAGATGACTAATCCAGGTCAGGAGTGCCTGTTATCAGATTCGGTTGATACGCCAGCTGTGCCCTTTCCTAGAAGTAAGGGATCTTGAAACTGTGGTGCCCCCGCTGGTAACCTCTCACCTTGACTTCTGTAATGCACTTTACATGGGGCTACCCTTGTGCTTAGTCTGGAAACTCCAACTAGTATCGAACATGGCAGTCAGGCTGGTCTCTGGTACATCTAAGAGAGACCATATAACA